TCCACTCTGACCCGGATTCCTCGTGAAATGTGTGTCAAGGCACTAAATTATACTGTCAATCGTTGGGTTTTGTGTATCAAAAAGTTCCCCGTAGACCCTGTATAAAACGGTGTCGGGTAGCTGTTTCCCGAAACAAAACTCTTCCCTTCGATATAGCCTCATCTGGGGATCCTCTCTTCCTGGAGGCAGAGAGTTTGACCAGCACAGCTGGTAACGAATCTCCAACTGCAGGACATCTACCAACCTCCCCACGCGGTCAGATGTGGCACAAGGCCGAATTTCCCGAAACGAAACTCTGCCCTTCAACATAGCCTCGTCTGGGGATCCTCTCTGTCCGAAGGCAGAGAGTTTGACCGGCACAGCTGGTAACGAATCTCCAACTGCAGGATATCTACCAACCTCCTCGACTGGAGACCAACATACAGTATTTACTACTGTTTTTATGTGAATGGCGACATACCCATTATCTATGCTACAACAATATTCCATTGGTGAAAAGTAAGTTCCACTTGAGAAGCATCTTCCCCTGAACGACTGCCCCGTGGAATCGACTCCCAACAGGATGTTCCCGATCACTACAATCTTAACTTAAGGCTAGAGTTAATCGTTATCTCCTTCATACACACAAATGGCCTCCTAACGTAACACTCTACCTCGAGTAGCCCCCGGGCCTTGTAAAAGGTGATTCTCACGGTAAAGAATAAGAAAACTTTCGGATTTTGAATTCGCATTTTCCGTTCTCGATTATAACACTTCTGAGATGTTCAAATTTTTGTACTTGCTTTATTTTGGTGTTTCCAATTCATAGTTTGCAACTTGAGCTGTTTCTTTGCTGTGTTTACAGTAGACTGTAGTTTATCTAAATGCGCAATGCCATTCGGTTTGAACCAAGCAGGAAAAATAAAATAATGTAAATTAAATTAAAAATGTTTTATTGCACCCAAAATGCAACATAAAGACGTGAAGTGCGTGGACGCAGTTGGCAAAATAGCGCTGATCGACTTATTTGATGCAGGGTTGCTGCAAAACTTAAAAAAAAAAAAATAAATAAATACGAAGCGCAACATCTACGAAACAATATCTGCAAAACGCAATAAAATGAAGCACGACAAAAAAATGTTATGCCTACATAGGTATAAGTGCACGTTTAGCTGCCTTTTGCTAACATTGTAGCAAAGTTAAGATTTGTTTAAAAAATAACGTTAAAGTTCGCTACAGTTTTAAGACTATGTTTCATGACCTCTTAGCAAAGGCCATTTTCATTGGTTTAACTGATTATAAATATATCAAGTTCCGCTGTTACCCCTCTCTATGCCTTCCTACTCCTTTTTTATTCTTCCTTTTCTCCGAGTCTTCAGTCTTTCTTTCTTCCTCTTTTTCTTTTCTTTCCTTTTTCACGTGAAAAAAAAACGTTGCATGTGGTTAAAATCCAAATCATTGTACTAATCAGTCATTTACAGTCATTTTATGTGTTGATACACAATGCTTTGTGTAGCATTTACCTACAACTTTGAAAGTAATATCCTATAATAAAGTATATATATATATATATATATATATATATATATATATATAAGAAAAAAATACAGAAAAACAAAACAAAAATCTTAATATGCAATTATGCTGTATTAATGTTAATATAAAGTCGACGTCGGACGTTTCGGTCTATTTAAAACCATCTTCATGGACATTTTCATTTAAACATAATTAACATTAGAACATATAAAAATTTAACACAAAAGACGATGGACATATATAAGATCAGCGTTCCGTTTAAATATGATCACGTCGTCGTCACGTGGGCGATGTTGTGAAAACGTATTCGAAGATGATTTCAAAATATTAAAATATTAAAAAAGTCAATTGAACTATTTTATATAAACAGTTCAAGAAATCCCTTCCGTTGATATAGGAATACGTAGAGATCAATAGGTTCTTATATCTTCATTGTAAGCTTGACGTCCTTCACGTTACAACGCAAATCAAAATGATTTCAAAAAACGATGGAACAGTTCTAAAAAACAGTTCGGTAATAAATCCTTTCCTTACTTGATCAATAGATTCTTATATTTTCATCCAAGCTTGAAGTCTTCCATGTTCCATATATTTGCTTATATATATATACATATATATATATATATATATATATATATATATATATATATATATATATATATATATATATAAAGTACAGGGGAAAAAAAAACCCGTTGGTATATAATCCAAGTGAGTCCTAATGATATAAAATATTAAAACTGATCCACAAAAAGAGTTCAATGTATTTATTACAACAGAGCATATAAATTACACAACAGAGAAATCCCAAATTACCCCATGGGTATAGTTTATTTCGACCGACGCCGAGTACGTCAGTGTTATTCAGCCTAGACGGATGGACTGTATTCAGTGTTAGAATAAAAATATTAATATTTAACAAAGACAGCCGTTGAAAAATTGATACATAGCCTACCCATATCGAAGCCTCTGCAGGACAGACTGCCCGAGTAGTGGTAAGTTGAGGGCGGAAGTTATCTCTCTTAAAAGTAAAGAAGCTCCACAAATTCAACCCAGATATTAACCTTAAGACCACAAATTGGGATTATCAAAGAGATGAAGTGAAACCAAAGGAAGGATGAAAAAAAGAAGTTTTATAAAACGAAATTTTTCATTATTAATTATATCAAAAATTGTTCCCACTAAAAAATACCAAAATATGCTTACAGATATATAGCAAGATTAACAATAAATTGTATTTATATTAAGAAAGAATATATCAAAAGTAATTTATATTATTAAGGAAAAAAAAATAAAAATAATTTAACGATGAAAATATTATCCATTTAAAATTTTAAAGATGAGTTAAATTATTAAGAATACAAATAATACCTATTAATATATTAAAAGAAACATTTTAAAAAAAATGAAAAATATAAGAAAATATAACACTATAGAAAAAACTATAGTAAATAGTACTCGGCGTCAGTTGAAATAGACTATTAGACTATACCCATGAGGGGATTTTGGATTTCTCTGTTGTGTAATATATATATATATATATATATATATATATATATATATATATATAACTGATTTAAAAATACGGTTTTTTTCGCTACACGGGAATTACCCTGTTTCAAAAACCAACGCTAGAAACTTCAAATTTAATTATATAATTAAATTAAAAGCTTTAGTTCTGTTTCATCTTCAAGGATGATTAAATTTAAAGCTTTTAGCTTCGATTTTTGAAACATGGTAATTCCTGTATAGCGAAGGAAGCATATTTTTAAATCAGTTAATTTATAATATTTATGCTCTGTAAATTTAAATTGAGCACTGTTTTGTAAAAATAAAAATATCAATAAGAACACCGGATTATATATCTTACTGTTCTTTCTTTTTTTTAGTATAATATATAAATATATATATATATATATATATATATATATATATATATATATATATGATTAAATAATTTAGACGTATTATGTCTATTTATTTTAGTTTTACTCCTTTCAAGTCCATGAATTAATTTGTTGGTAGCTGTAGAAAATTGAAAAATTTAAGTAAACATGCTTGAATGAAAATATTTTGCCTAAATATTCATATATATATATGTGTGTGTGTGTGTGTGTGTGTGTGTGTGTGTGTGTGTGTGTGTGTGTGTGTGCAATTATTGAGTGTAACAGAGATGTGGCACGAGGACGCAATTATAGAGCATCTAGTGTAGATCGAACACACTGAGGATATGGGTCATTTAAGGATTTACAAATTCTGTTTTTTTTTTTTTTTTAAATATTTTCCATCTAACGGTGGGTTTTTTTTTTTATAAATTTCTTTTAACATTTCTCCGTAAAACGAAAAATATTTTTTTAAAAAAATAAAAAAACGTGAATTTGTAAATCCTCAAATGATCCATATCAGATGTGTCTACATGAAAAGCTTCATTTTATTAAGTTTCCTAAAAATAATGATCTCCTTTGTAGGCATTATATGTTTACTTTAAAATATATTTAATAGAATATTTCATAAAAATATATGCCTTACAATGATATATCCATTATTTTATTAATATATAATGCTTCATATAATATTTATTTAATTCTTTGATTTTTCAACTTTAATATTGCCATATATTATTGTCCATTCAATAAAATAAGCATTGTATTTTGAGTTCAAAATTATATATATATATATATATATATATATATATATATATATATATATATATATATATATATAAATGATTTAATCACACCAGAGGCCAAATTAAGATAGTTCTCAAGTATATAAAAAAAAATTTAAAACAATCTTGAAATTCTATTAAAATTAAGCTTTTGTTAAATATATCTCTCTGTTAACTTTACTGTATCTTAAATTTATATTCGTAACCGGATGTCGCCTGTGGTGAAGTGCCTTAAAGGTGTCAATTTATCTCGATATGAATAAATAATTCACCTACCCCTAACTTCTAACCTAATTTTTCATCTTCTATTTTAGCTTTGATCCGTCTTTTGATTGGTTAACCAAGACATACTCAGAAGATTTTGGAATCTTGGTTCACCCTCCTTTTTACCTCTCAAATAAGCTACCGAATTGTTTTTTTGATTTCCCAAGTAAATCATTTTCCTCATCAATCACCCAACATCGCCTGATGATGAAACAATTTTTAAGTTCCGAAACATAGAATTTTTTGTGTAGCGATGTAAAACTTCATAAAAGTTCATAATAAAAAATATTATTATAATATTTTGCTCTACGCTGTATCGAGCACTTTTAAAAAAAATGTAAATGCTAAGAACGTTGGATTTTTAATCTGTCTGTTCTTTCTCTTTATTTGTGTATATATATATATATATATATATATATATATATATATATATATATATATATATATATATATAATCATGTAGATCAATAGGGAAATAGCTGGGCACACACATAACAGAATACGAATAGTGAAAGAGACAGAGATAAAATGGAAAGAAAGAAAGATGTGAGAGTTAAAGAAAGAAAGAAAGAAAGAAAAAAAGAAAGAAAGAAAGAAAGAAAGAAAGAAAGAAAAGCATAGAGAGGTGGGTGCAAAGAAAGAAAGAAAATGAACTGAGAAAGAAAAAAATGAAACAAAAATGTAAGAGAGAAGAAGGCGAAAGAAAGAGAGAAGGAAAATGAGATGAGAAAGAAAAAGTGATACAAGAAAGATAGAGAGAAGAAGGCAAATGGAAGGAAAATGAGCCGAGAAAGAAAAAAATGACATAAGAATGGAAAAAAGAATGCGGCGAAAGAGAGAAAGAAAGAAAGAAAGAAAGAAGAAAAATGAGCTGAGAAAGAAAGAAAGAAAGAAAGAAAGAAAGAAAGAAAATCAGTATATTGTGGAGAAATAAAAAAAAAATGTTAAAAACACTGATGGCGGTAAAAAAAATGAAAGGTAAGGAAAATGACAGAAGAAAAATCGAAAACGTTATAGAGGAGAAAGAAAAATCAGAAAAAAGGTAAGAACAAAACCTGCAGACGAAAAAAATCAAAGTTGAACAGGCAGTTGGTGGTCGGAGTGAATCAGTTCAAAATCATTGATTTGTCTGTCATCTCCGTTCCTGTAGTTGTTATGCCATAAATAAATAAATAATAATAAAGAAAGGAAAGAAAGAGAAAGTTTTTTTTTTTTTTTTGTTCGCTGTTCATGATCCACTCGTTTAGTGTCTCCTGATCGGCGTCCACTGAAGACGATCACTGTACGGCAGAGTCACGGAAACTAAGATTCTCACGCTGAGACACACAACCGGAAACGTTGGTGGGGATTTCACTCAATAGACGCATGCGCTTTTGTTTGAACAAACACCGATTGCATTGGTATTAAAGCCGGAAGTGGACCAGCAGTGACGATTTCGCCCCAGTGATTTTAAATGGTGGCTTGTAAATCTAGGCAGGGACCGATCCCCATTAATCATGGGAAAAGAGAGTCTGAAAACATCGGGTAAGGGGAAAATGGGGACATTTTTTCCTTTATTAAAACACTTGTCCCTCCCTCCCCTCTCTCTCTCTCTCTCTCTCTCTCTCTCTCTCTCTCTAATCGCTACTGTTTTGAGTTAAACATTCGTTGACTGTGTCCTGCCTGTCAATTGAAATAAAATCGCTTACTGCGTTTTAGTTAACAGGTTTTTATACTCTAGAAAGACCATATATGTATGTGTGTGTGTGTGTGTGTGTGTGTATGTGTGTGTGTGTGTGTGTGTGTGTGTGTGTTTGTTGAATTAATACGAATATAACGCTTGTCAGTCAGCTGACATAATAATAATAATCGGTGTTGTCTTCAGCATCATAGTTTCGTAGATGAACCCTCTAGTAATCACTCCGTCCACTCGTCAGGGGTATCAGCAATCGACTGCTTATATTTCTCTTTTTTTATTTTATATATGCACTTTTCATTGGTGCAAGGTTCAATTTTTCTTTTAATAATGTGTGTGTGTGTATGTGTGTGTGTGTGCGTACGCGCTATACAAAAAGGGAGAGTCAGAGGTTTTATTGTAAACACACATACACACACGGAAATATATATATCAAGCAGCTCAGTTCCTAGGAATCAACAGCCAGACAGCAGCACATATGATTAGATTATGGTGAAGGCTTTCTGCAGAACCAACCACACTTTTTGAAGGGCTGAATACAGAGACCTGGTGCACTATGTGCCACAAGGTCCCCAAACAACCCTCCGCAGGTTTTAGGATTCAGAGTTGTCCTTCTCCTAGACCAGTTGCCATCCAAGTCTGTCCTGCTATTTACCCATAGCTGGTGTGAGAAGAGGGTTAATACCAAGAGTATTAGCACGTAAGGGAATGCAATGGATTTGTCTGGAGTTCGAAATCGGCTCTCCGATTCCTCAAGCTATCCACTACTCCAATATATATATATATATATTACTTCAAACTTATTATAGCGGAATGAGGGTGTCTGTTTCAATTACGAGTGTCCACTATAATAACGTTTGAATTTCGAAGTGTATATATATATATATATATATATATATATATATATATATATACACACATACATACACACACACATATACAGGCTGTTTCATGCTAGACGCAATCGTCAGGCATCTAAGTATTGACTTCAATGTTCACTTTTATATTCATATATATATATATATATATATATATATATATATATATATATATATATATAAGTGCGC